TCAAGCCTCCCCCTCCCCCTCCCCCCTCCTTCATCAAGCCCCCTCCATCAAACCCCTCCCCTCCTTTATCAAGCTCCTCCCCTCTCCCCTCCTTCATCAATCCCCCTCCATCAAGCCTCCCCCCTCCCTCCCTCCTCCATCAAGCCCCTCCCCCTCCTTGTCATCCTCCCCTCCCCTCCTCCATCAACATCAAGCCCCTCCCTCCCTCCATCACCAGGCCCCTCCCTCCCTCCATCACCAGGCCCCTCCCTCTTTCCCTCCCTCCCTCGCTAATTACATCACAAAGAATGATTCTCAAAGGTTTGTCATTTTAATATTTTCCACCTGATTGGATATTGTCAAATTAGTTTTGGATCACCTGAGGATTAGACACCCCAGCTTATTTCACTTGATGATTAAAACCCCCTAATGCTACCTGGGGCTTAGGTTAGATTAAGTTCTCTTGGGTTAAGTTAGATTAAACTCGATTAGATTAGGTTAGTTTAGGTTAGGTTAGAATAAACTGGAGAGGCTAACCTTCAGGTGATCAAATATTTCTTTTATGTTCGTTTATTCATCACAACAATATTTCCTTGATCCCGTCACATTTTGCATATTTTCCCACGAGGTAGGTGTGTGTGTGTGTGTGTGTGTGTGTGTGTGTGTGTGTGTGAGAGAGAGAGAAACTGCCCGGCGAGATACCCGTGTGAGACCTTAGGTACTAATTACTGTCCTCACCTGTCTCCTAAAACACCTGGTCGGTCCTGTAACATCGTCAAGTCTTTTGTAACTGTTATGGTGGATGGTGACGAGATTGACGACCGCAGTGTAACGAGTTGGTGTTTCTGTTACCTGGTGTTACGTTCTGTTACCTGGGAGATTAACGTTTTAGTGAAAGTATTGTCAAGGATTAAATTATTATGTAATTAACGTATGTTGCTAGGGATTAACGTTTATTGCCAGGAATTAACGTGTGTTGCTAGGGATTAACGTGTGTTGCTAGGGATTAACGTGTGTTGCCAGGGATTAACGTGTGTTGCCAGGGATTAACGTGTGTTGCTAGGGATTTATACGTATTAGTAATGGTCACTACCGAAAATTAACTGCAAATAATTATTAACCCTAAAATTACCAAAATATTTAAGGTAGATTTTAAAAACTTTGGTCCTAAGGGAAAGGAGAGAGAGAGAGAGAGAGAGAGAGAGAGAGAGAGAGAGAGAGAGAGGCCCACATTTAGGGTTATTTTAAGGGCCATTACCTACGCTATTATGATCTTAAACACGGCATGAAGCTCGCTATGGGAACCTGGCCTTTTTTTTTGTCTCCCAGGATTAACAACGTAGAAATTCAGTATAGGTGAGAGTGATAAAGTCCGTCATGGGAAAAATACGGTGAATATTAATTTCTTATTGCCAACGGCGATAATTTGAGTGTAAATTTTGTAGTTCCGTCCGTCCGTCCGTCCGTTCGTTCGTTCGTATTAAAGGGGTTGATGCATCTTATTTACGGGGCTAAGTTATCGTACTCAAGAGGTTAAGCCATCGTACTCGAGAGGTAAAGTCATCGTGCCCGAGAGGTTAAGTCATCCTACACAAGGCGTTGACGTCCCACTGACCACCCACGGAGCCCCACTGACCTCCCTACCTCCCTACTCTCCCTCCTCAGGCTAAATGACCCTCACCTTCCCAAGTCAAATGATTAAGTAATTATCCTTGGACTTAACGACCTACACGATGGTAATGACTGGTTGTGTAAGTGATTGGTTATTCCATTGTAAACAAATATCTCGTGAGCTCTGAATTGGCTTGTAAATGAGAAGGTGTGTTTATACCAGACAATGTAAACAATATATGGATCACCTGAAGAATAGCCACCCTAGTTTATTTAATCTTAAGATTATCCATCTTAACGCTAAAGCTAACCTAACCTAACGCTAACCTAACCTAACCAAGCTCCATCCCAGCCCAAGTTAACAGTGTAATGGACTGATACATTTACCTTCGTGCTGTTGTCTTTATGTATTTCAGACCCTAAAGGTGTTGTCTTAAACCTACCTATTAACTTTAGATAACACCTGTACGTTACACACAGTCATTTACACCTGCAGATGTGTTCAGTCGGTTTCAATCTTCCTCGAGCAGATAAACGGTTGATATTATTAAAGGTAAAGACATGACATGAAAATTAGACATCCCAGTTTATTTCATCAGAGGATTAACCACTCTAATCTAACCTAACCTGCAGGTAGCGTTAGGTTAGGTTAGCGTTGGTTGGGGTGTCTAATCTAAAGGTGATCTAAACTTGCTTGGCAGTGTAGGTGGTGGAGGGTGGCCAAGCGTGTGGTTCTGTTGTAAACATTGGCTCTGGTTGGCCTCCTTTGCCTCACACCACAGGCTCATATAATGTGTGAGGAAGACCCGAGTTCACCGGCCATAAACATCTCTCACTGTCTCGTCTGTAGCTTTGATTCTTCTTCCTCCTCCTCCTCCTCCTCCTCCTCCTTCTCCTCCTCCTCCTTCTCTTCCTCCTCCTCCTCCTCCTAGCTTTAAGGAAGAACCAACACCATGATTATGACTGGTTGGAAAATATCTACGAGTTTTCTTTTACAACCTGAGGTGATCCTTGTGCTGATTCAATGAAGATCTATAGATTTTAACTTAATGGCTCACAAGACGAGAGAGAGAGGATGTGGTGGTGCAGGTGAGCTGAGGTGGTGATGACAGGTAGATGGGACCTGGGTATTACCTGGGCAACAGATACCCTTGTACACCGCACCTTCTGTTTGCCCGGGACCCAGGGAAAGAGAGAGACTGTGTGTGTGTGTGAGAGAGCAGTATTTATCTAGGCAAGGATTCAGTTCCCATGGAAACATTGAAGGTAACATCATCACCTACACTAGGGTCCGTCCTGCGAGGGTCGGGGAGGCCATGGCGCCCACGCTCTGGCCACTAATTGTTTGAAAGCCAATTAACCCCGGCGTCAGGAGGCGTCGGTGTCACTGTACACAGACAGCCGAACTCCTCTTCTCTCCTACAGGTGTCTCTCTATCCTGCACTCTTTCTCACGTCTTTCCTCTCGTGTGCTTTGTATTTCTCAGTGCTCTCATTCCGACGCTTTTCTCTTCTGTCTAAGGCTTGGCTTACTCCCTGCCATCGGTTTTCTATCCGGGCTTCTCATCTCCGACAGCTTCTATCCCGACGTGCTCACCGACGCTATCCAACCATCAGTGTTTGTGGTAGGGAATAACTCTTACTCATGCTTCTACTGTACAGATGTTTTTATCACCTCCTTTAGCATTTATTAACATCGTTCACATTTGCCACTTATTATCAATCTATTTATTTCCTCCCTTATTCATAATATTCTAGTACCTCCCCCCCCCACCTATTGTTTTGGGGTATTAGTGTACATGAGAGTCAGTTGCGTGCTTGAGTTACGGTTGAGGTAAAATCTACACAGGGAAGTTTAGGTTCGTCGTGTTTATTTTGTACAGACCAGCGCGCTCACCTGCTCCTCCCCGCCCGCTCCCAGCTGGTCGTCGCCATAACAACCACGAGTGAGCCAGACATCAGCTGACTGAGGTAAACAAAGGATCGGCGGCTGTTGCAAGATTGTTTTGGTCTGGCCAGCTGATTGATGAAATTATGGCGCGGTTGTTGGGAACTAATATGGTTTGGTCATTACTTTTAGGTTATATTAACACACACACACACACACACACACACACACACACACACACACAGGGCCGTAATTGAGTCACGGCGGAAGACTCGACTGTTGCATTTCCTTCCCTACATCCCTGAGTTATGTTTTCCTCCTTAACTCTCCGGCAAGAAACACGTCACTGGGTAGTTTCATTCGTTTACCTTGTATTAGTGTTGTGCTTTAAGGAGAAGAATGCAAGAGAGTTAAATGATGGATTACCTGAAGATTAAACACCCTTATGCAGAACCTAGTCTAACCTAACCTAACCCAACCCAACCCTAACCTAACTCAACTAGAACTTAACGTAACCTAACTTAAATTGACTCTAATCTAACCTAATCTAATCTAACTTAACCTAACCCAACTGGAACTTAACGTAACCTAACTTAACTCGACTCTAACCTAACCCCCCAGGAATCAAATCATAGGTGAGCGCCAGGCCAGGTGCGGTGAGGGCGGGGCATCAGGGCCAGGTGGGAGGACAAGCTTAATTAGCCTTTCTACCTGTGCCTCAGGTGTTCCGGGAGGCTGGGAGATGCTCCACGTTCTCATCTCCACTCTCACTGGCTTATTGGTTTAATCTGACAGGTGGTGCAGTTAAGGTGGTCCTGGTTGACAGTCCCTGTACAGATCTGACAGATGGTACACGATATTCCTGTCTCTCTCCCTCTGTCTCTTTCTCTCACTCTCTACCTTTCACTCTCCCTCTCACACTCTCACTCTTTATCTCTCCCCCACCCCCCCTCTCCCTCACCCCCTCCCCTCTCCCTCACCCCCTCCCAATCTCAGGTCTCCCGTCTTGTCCTGAATCTTGTTAGAATAATTATTCGAGCATATTGATGCGTTAGTTGTCATGGTGTGAGAGATGGTGTGAGAGATGGTATGAGAGATGGCGTGAGAGATGGTGTGAGAGATGGTGTGAGAGATAGCATTATTTTTGTTGAGAGGAATTAAAGAGTTATACAGTAAACATCAGGAGAGAGAGCGCGGGGTTCTGTGGAAGGGATGTTGGGGGTCAGGGTTAAGGGGAGAGGTCAAACGATATGTGATTTTTTTTCGTTTTAATTCAGATTACTCGACAAGTACAGGTGTAAGCTCAGGTACAGGTGTAAGTACAGGTACAGGTGTAAGTACAGGTACAGGTGTAATTACAAGTACAACTACAGGTCTACGTACAGGTACAGGTGTAATTACAAGTACAACTGCAGGTGTAAGTACAGGTATATTTCAAGTTAAAACACAAACCATCTCTTTATTTAATTGCTACTTGTGTAAGACATAACAAGTAACGCCAGCATTAATTATCTCTCCTTCAGGAACTCCAACCGCTACGTACACCAGCCTGGCCGTATTGAAGACTATGTTCCTGGGTACTCCTCACTCTCGGAGAAGGAGCTGAAGAAGGTGAGGTGTATGTGTGTGTGTGTGTGTGTGTGTGTGTGTGTGTGTGTGTGTGTGTGTGTGTGTGTGTGTGTGTGTGTGTGTGTGTGTGTGTGTGTGTGTGTGTGTGTGTGTGTGTGTGTGTGTGTGTGTGTAAGTAACCAGATCAACACACACACTACCGTCCTTATCTTAAGAAGTGAAAAACAATAATGAGTCTATGCATAAAATATAATCCTATTATGTACTAAATCCGTTGATAAGATCTTTTAGCAACATAACGGGTTTTTTTATGCAGGAGTGTAATAAATTTAATAATAATAGTATATTAGCTTTGACGCTCATATCTTATTGCAAAGATGCTAAATAATATCCATATTCGACATTCATGTAATATAATTCACTAAATAATAATAATGATAACTAATAACAAAGATGATAACTAGACGGTATAAACAAAACACTAACTGTACCTCGATATAAGTAAACATATCTACATTGTTGTTATAGAAGAGAGAGATAATTGATGTATGTGTGTGTCAGAGTATATAACTAAGTCATTCAAACCATCAAAAGCCTCTGTAACATAATTTGGTATTTATTAATGTGAAGAAAAAAAAATTAACAAAAGCAAAATTCCATGATGTGAATTGTCCTCTTCTTTCACGTTGACTTTGGCAGTTTTTACAGTCCAGAACACCTGTAAGTATATTGGTCTACAGTAGTTATCAGCATTTTAGTATTAACATGAAAATTCTTCTAAATTGGTGTATTGCCAAATTTTCATCATATTTGGAGTATTTTTTTTTTGAGAATTGAATGGCCGTGATTTTAACTCCCTTGCTGCTACTCAGATTAATTTTTTATTATACGAAATGTGAATTTCTTTTGTTACTTTCGATCTTGTTTTGACCTGCGAGGGAGCTGTGATCCGCTGGCCTTTACTTCTCAGGGTTTTTGTGAGCTGAGAATCACCTTTTAGAGTGCACGTTTGTTTGTTGTTATTGTTGTTGTGAGTTGGGTAGTGTGCAAGTGTTGTTGTAGACTGTGTGTTTTACTCTGAGGAATGTCTGTCAACCACAACATATGTTACTGACTCTCTGTATTACGACCACTGTTCTAAATCCACTGTTTTGCGACCATTGTGTACTACGACCACTGTGTACTACGACCATTGTGTATTGCGATCTCTGTTTTACGACCACACGGAGTAAATAGGTGTAAAGGGTCTTGGTACAGTAGGCAGGTTCAAAGGCTGGACGACTACCACGAGAGTTGAACTAAAGTATAAGAGTGTGTGTGTGTGTGTGTGTGTGTGAGAAATACTGTACCAGGGTTTGTGGTGGGGGGGGGTAGTTGAGGTAAGGGGCAGATTGAGGAAGGAGAGGAGGACCATCTATACCTTTTAGATTTCTCCTTCCTTCCTCATACCTCATCATAGTCATTATCATCATCGCCACTACCATCATCATAATTCACCATCATCATCATCATCATCATCATCATCATCATCATCACCACCATCATCACCACCACCACCACCCACCCACCACCACCCCCATCAACGTGTTCACACAATTTTCTTCTCTTCCATGTGACCCAGAATCCGGAGGCAGACATAAAGCTTGAGGTTGGTTTTGTATATACCATATTTTGTAACTTTACTTCCATTTCTTCATTTTTCCCCCCTCAGAAACTTACGATTTTTTTTAATACCTCAAGAGAAACTTACGGTTTTTTCTATATTTTGGCTTTTGCAATATTTCTCATCTTGGTAATTGAGGATTTATTTCTTTACATGGTTTACAGGACGTGCATGTATGATATAGTCTTCTAGAAATATATATAAATCTTCATTTCCGGTTTTGTTTGTACTTTTGTTTTTGTCTTCTTCAGATAACACGCAAAATAATTGTCTTCCTCTCCTGATGATTCGGATATTTGTTTTCTTCATATTAACAAAAGATAATTATTGTCTTCTATTGTGACATATATATTTTAATATTAATTATCGTCTCGTCTTCTTTTGTCATGAATGTTACTTAGAAATTTCAAGACAACTCAAGTCAATATTTTCTACAATAGTCTTCCTTTTTGTTTTTTTTGTCACTTATCGTTTTCTGTATACTTTCCCGCGGTAACTATAACAATTGTCTTCCCTATAACTAAACTCACTAACAAATATTTTTAAAATCTCTTCTTACTAACAATTGGTAAGTTTTTTTCTCATTTGATTCACTAGATTTATATAATAATTGTTTTATGTTTTATAATGTTTTAACCCTGTTTTCTCTTACGACAATACTACTAACCAGCTACCCCTGTCTTATGTTAAGTTTACACCTGTAACTAGTTAATATCTTGTGATTTTCCCGCTTCTTGCAGTTTATAATGACAGTGCATAAGTTTCCTGTATAAGTATATAAGTTACTACTACGTTAGGTTTGCTCAGCCCAGCTTACTTAAGATCCAAGTGCTGAAGTGTATGTGTTTTCTAAGTGGACTTATCCCTTATGGCTGTTTAGTTGGCTTTGAAGTATTTGTTAAGTTGTGCGTTTTTTGTCATGAGTGTGTATTTAATTAACAACTTAACGTTCTTCATTTGTTTTGGTCGGTTCATAGAGTACTGTATACTGTATTTACTTAACAACGTTCTTCATTGTTTTCAATACTTGTACCCCCCAAAATAACTACAGTAATTGAACGTTTTGTATTCGTCTCTTCATAGAATTAATTCCTGAATCTCGAAGACCCGCATTTCAGCTTCCAAAAATGCCGGAAATATTATTTTATACACAGCACGTGAAGATTAGCCCCCCTCAGCCTTTTTCAGCTTAAAATTAACCAGGGTGTTTAATCTTCACATGATCCTTCTCTAAATATGTGTACTGTACGTAAATGCCACCTTATGATGTAACTCACTATACGAATCAACGCGACTTACGTATATACACTTTTATCGTGAGGAATGAATCGTGTTAAATGTGTACAGCCACGAGCAAAAGTCCCTGTACACTCCTGTTCAACACTCTACCAAACCACCCAGATGAGGTACCTGATTGGAGTCTCGTTTTCATCTGATTGGAGACTTGTTTCAGGTGTTCGAAGTCTCTCAGGCATGTACAGGGACTTTTTACATGTAGCTGAATCCCCTCTTCCCTCCCACGAGCCTCAGGGAGCCTCAGGGAGCAAAAATTCGTGTCTTACTAACGTTTCACGATCTCTTCTTTTACAGACACAGACACAAGAGCCTCCACCGGTGTCTGTTAACCATAGGTACAGTTCACAGAAGATGTCCATGACCCAGTGAGTATACCGACTGTCTGTGTGTTATCCGTGTCTGTTAATAGTGTCAGTGTCTGTTCCGTGTTTCTTCCGTGTCAGAGGATGGTGTAGTTTGTCCCCAAGGCAGGAGTCCTACCCCCTTGCACAGTGCCCTGAAGGAATCCTACCCCTTATACAATGACCCGAAAGAGTCACTGCACATTACCCTGAAGGAGTCCTACACTTTCATAGTACCCTGAAGGAGTGCTACCCCTTACACAGTGCCCTGAAGGAGTCCTACCCCCTTACATATTACCCTGAAGGAGTCTTACCCCCTTACATATTACCCTGAAGGAGTCCTAGCCCCTTACACAATGCCCTGAAGGAGCGTCTAAATTTCCTATCTCTTACACAGTGCTTTGAAGGAATCCGGATACGAGAGCGACAGTACCCTAGTGTTCAGGAAGCGTGAGGACGCCCGCCGTCAGGCCCCCGACCCCAGGAAGACGAGCCAAGTGTATCGTCAGGTGAGTCGTCTTCTGTTGTATCTCAAATTTTACCAAGGTTATCTGTTTACACTGTACAATGTTGACTTCTATATCGTAAAATATGAAGTTTACAAAGCCGGTCCACCATTTACTGTATAACAAATATCAAATTTACTGTGCTTATGTCTTTTACAAGTATGTTTGTATGCCTCCTATCCTGGAAAGCTTCAGATTTACAGTACTTGTTTCTGGTATTTATAATTGTAAGTATCTACAGTGTTAACTTGCCATTTAATATAGGATTGAACCCCATATATCCATCTGAACTTTTGAAATACCTTATAAGGAATTTGAACACTGTGAATGTCAGATCTGAACCTTTAAAAATACCCGACTTGAACCTCATACAGCCAGCCAACTAACTCGCCTGTTCTACTCTCCCTCACAGATCCAGCGAGGAGGTGACATCCCACTAACTGGTCTTCAGAAAGCCAACCCACCCAAGCCAAGAGGTAAAGTGACTTAATCATCTATTGAGTTTTAACCTCACATAGCATCTCAAGCCAGTGTCTTTAAGATGAAACTAAGTGGGTACTCGTCTAACCAAATTTACGTGGATTGATGTGTTTTTGTTTTGACCATAAGAATGTAGGAATTATGTTTGTCTATACAGTTTGTAGCTACTAAACTATATCATCTTATAGAGAGAACACTAAAAGAATTATCTGAAATTGATGTGAACGAGTAGCCCATTTAGTATTTATAAATCTTGTTTTGTTTTGCATTATTATTATTTTTTTTTTTTGTTGAAAAGATGTTTGGTGTCATGAGATTTCAAGACCTCTCTAAAAAAGGTCACTCACTATTTCTCTATTAGTTTGTTATTGTTTTTTTCCTTTATTTTGCCCCGTGTTAAGTCCTCTCCCTCGCACCAGTGGAGTATCTGGCCCCCTTCCCTGCCACCAGCTAACGTTAAGCCCAAGTATACCCTGCAGTGTGTTGGTGATATAGAGGTGTGTGTGTGTGTGTGTGTAAAAGCTGCTGTGAGGGAAGGGGTTGAGTATACTCCCTCCTACACTTGTCCTGAGACCCATGTGTGAGTGTTTGTGTTGATCTGCACCACTACTACCACTACTACTACTACTGTTATTTCTACTACTACTATTATTTCTACTACTGCTATTACTACCACTACTATTACCATTACTACTATTATCATTACTACTACTATTACTACTACTACTACCACCATTACTACTACTGCTACTACTACCATTACTACTGTCACTATAACTACTACTACCGTTACTACTACTACTACTACCGTTACTACAACTGCTACCATTACTATCGTTACTATTACTACCACTACTACTACCGTTACTACTACTACTACTACTACTACTACTACTACTACTACTACTACTACTACTACTACTGTTGCCGTGTCCCTGAGAACTAAGTCTTCTTGATGGTTTATTTGAGGGTCGCTTGTCCGGCCAGTTGAGGTGTCTGGTTCTTACAGTCCTCTTAAGGGGTAGCATATTTTGTCCTTGTTGCACGTCTGTTCTGAGGTTGCACATCCGGCTCGGTGTTGCAAGCCTCACTCGTGGTCATGGCCAGTCTGGTGATGGAGAAACGTTTTGCCTATTTTCTTCCTTTTACTTTCGGTTGATTTCCTTAGTTTCACCTTAATTCTAACCATTTTCTCTTTAGGTAAATTAATTGTACCTTTTTCTATCTAGGTAAATTTATTTTACCGTTTTTTTCTTGAGGTTAATTTTATTTTTGACACTTTAAATTTATTGTTGTTTCAAGATAAATTTATTTTGTTGCCCTAAAAGTATTATTATTATTATTATTATTATTATTATTATTATTATTATTATTATTATTATTATTATTATTATTATTATTATTGATTTTACTCTCAGGAGGTAAATATTTGCTTGCAGGAAAATCTTGACTTACTTTGACAGTATTTAGTAGTTTGCATGGAAAGTATTTTTCCCTTAAGTTATTATTTAAGGTATTCTTAGTCCCTTTAATTTTAAGGATAGTTACTGTAGTTTGTTTCCTTTGTGTAGTTTTCTTAAGTTAGCACTGTAGTGAGACTGTACACGCCTTCCCCTACACGCCCGCCTCTACACGCCCGCCCCTACACGCCCGCCCCTACACGCCCGCCCCTACATACTCGTCTCTACACGTCCACCCCTACATGCTAGTCTCTACACGCCCTTCCCAAAAGCCAATCCCCCATATGCCCAGATGAAAAGCTCGCCCACACGCCCATATCAATAGCCTGCCCTACACACCCATATAAAAATCTTGCTCAACACGCCCATCTCAAAAGCCCCCTACATGCCCATATCACGTACCCGCCCCACACGCCCATATCAAGTGCCCGCCCCCACATGCCAATTCCAATAGTCCACCCTACACGCCCGCTCAAACCATAAACCCGTTGACACGCCCGTCCCCACACGCCCGTCCCCACACACCCGCATGCGCACGCTATGGCTCCGTACCCTTCCTAAGACTCCTATCCTTATCCTTTCCAATACCACTTTATCCATCTCTCTCTCTCTCTAGCCTGCCTCCTGGTTTCACTCAGTACTGCTGTATCTTTCACCTCCTTGCACCACCACCACCTCTTTGATCCCTGCCACACCCTCACCCCTGCACCACCACCTCCTGCCACACCCTCACACCCCTTGCACCACCTACTCCTTGCTTATTGTCACACCCTCACACCTGCACCTCCAACTCCCCACACACCTCACCCCTGCACTCCCTGCCACACCCTCACCCCTGCACCACCTCCTCCCTGCCACACCCTCACCCCTGCACCACCTCCTCCCTGTTACACCCTCACCCCTGCACCACTTCCCCCTTGATCGTTGCCACACCCTAACCCCTGCTCCACCACCTCACTACCACGCCGTCACTCCTGCACCACCTCTTCCCTGCTACCTGCCACACCCTCACCCCTGCACCACCACCTCCCTGCCACGTCTTCACACCAGCACCACCTTTTTCCCTGCTACCTGCCTCATCCCCTCCCTGCCTCATCCCCTCCCTGCCTCATCCCATGAGCATGCACGCGTCGATTCAGCGGTGGAGTTCAATCCGGCTGAGACCTTTGTATATACACACACACACACGTCCCCAGAAGCATCATTATCCTGCACCAGTATTGATAATTTGTGCACGAAGGAGCATCACGGTTGTTGTACAGTTGGCAAGAAATATGCACCTGAGGAATGCCTGTAGAAGCGTTGGTGCACCACAGCTTCATGGCCAAGTCTCTTTTCCAAGCACAAGTTACTACAAACACAGCAAGCCCTCGGTCTGTCTTCCTCTCGTAATCGGCTTCGGTCCAAAAGGTGGCACAGCAGTGTAGAAGATGTTCACTCACGAGGATTCTTTACTGCACGTTTATGAGAACAATAATAGGTGTGCCTCCTCATGATGCCCTTCTTACAGACGATTACTACGTGGTGTATTCTGACCTTGATCTGGGTCTGCACCATCCTTCCCTCTCCGATCTCAGCCCCTCCGGCACCGTCACCAGGACCATGTCTCCGCCGGCAAAGCCTCCAATGCCCACCTTTGGCGACAAAAAGAGGACGGCGCCCTCAAAGGTGGTGTTGGCGCCATCGCCGCCTCGACGAATTTCCTCAAAATGGCATCCATCACTTTTAAAAAGTAGTAAGGATCGGCCGCCGGTACCTTGTTCTCGTTCCACCTCTGCTGAGCGTGTCCGTGAGACTCGTGCCTTGTACTCATCTTGGCACCGCGAAAAAGTGGCAAAATCTAGGGAGAAGCTCGGTGCCTCGCCGGCAAGAACAAACTCTTTAGGACGGACACTTTCAGCTGCAAAACAAACCCAGGAGGCCAGAGAGAACTTCCTCAAGGGACGGCGCACTGTGTCTGAGTCTCGATTCACCATCCAGGACCGTGAGAATTCGCCCCCTCGCCGGGCTGCGTCACCCACCAAGATTCCTTCCCCCACCAGGCAGTCTGAGATCCGTGACAGGTTACAACTTAGATCTTCCCAGAGAGAAGGACTTGTTGACAGAACCTGGGCACATAAACAAGAAGTCGAGGAAGCCGTGAGCAATCGAGGTCACAACAGGTCATTGAGCGCTGATTCAACGAGAAAGTGGTCCAACACATCAGTCGAGAGCGGCCGCTACAGTGTGATGCGTCACACAGTCAGTAGTATGAACAAGATCAAGCGGCCGTCACTCCAGCATAACCAGCCAGAGAGTGTTAGTCCTGTTCCCAGGAGCAGCAGTGCTGAGAGTAACTGTCGAAGGCGACGAAGTGGCTGTTTCTCTCCAGAACCTCAGACACCAAGCCGAAAGTCCCCTGTCAACAGAAAAGACAGCGGCCGCTACCGAGGGTCTCCATACTCAGATGTCTCCATCGATGTTGGTGATGATAAAAAGTTGAAACAGAGCGAGAGTTTCGACACAACACAGAGCAATGAGACTGGATACTCCAGTATGCTTGACCTGTCCTCCTCACCAACACCAGAGAAGAAGATGGTTGAAGATCGTGACCGTCGACAAAGGAAAAAATCAGAGCCACAGCCACGACCTCATTCTGCTCCGCTCCGTCGCTCCCGGATATCGACGTCTTTCAACGAACAGCGGAACAAGTGGGAGGCTTTGACCCGAGGAGAGCCTGTAGGGGGCCGCCAGTCACGCAGCCCCTCACGGAGCACATCACCTCTCCGTTCTCTTCAGTTAGTGAAGCAGGTGAGCAGTAGTTTCAGGGACATACCAGCGGAGGTCTGGTCTGCCGGGACGCGGCGCAGCAGGAGTCTTGACGTACTCACACCGTCACCACACTCCCACCCACATCGCTATCGTCAGTACATTTTAGAACTGAGAAATGCTGCACCTCGAAATGCTCGAATCTCACAGCTGCGGCGTTTGTTTACATCTCTTGACAGAGTTCACCGCCTTGAGCGTTCTGTGAGCAGCGTTGAACTCTCAGATGTTCAGAATCGTGCATATGAGATTATAGACTTTGAGACATGGAAGGGCATGAGAGAGAAGGAACGGAAGGCCCTTGAATACAGCGTTTTGCTGAAGGAACTCAATGTTGCACAGAAGGAGCGTGAATTCTTGTACAAGGTGACGCCGGACAAAAAGTGGTCTGGTGACTGCAGGTTACGGGGACGAGATGTGAGTGTTCCGGAGCTGTGCGAGAAGTTTGCCACGACCACAGACAACACCTCTGAGGTAACACAGAAGCGACGCCGTGAGCTGGAGAACAACAAGGACACATACCGCGGCCTGTGGCGAGGATCCTCGGTGCGTGATCTTTCTCAAATGTACCAGAGTCCTGAGCGTCATCACAGGCGTGGCTCTAGTCTGAGTCTTTCACGAGAAGATTCGAGTATGAGAGCCCGTGGCTTGTGGACTAGCCTCAGTCTAGAGCAAGTGAACGCCTTCCGTGACCATCTCACAGAAATCTACGGGTCAATGCAGAGTATTCGCTCATGGCGGGAGAGGAAACAGGTGAGCAGAGACCGAGCACAGAACAGAAGTCATCGAGAGTTGTCTAAATATAGCGTAGATGTGGCGGAAACTGGACGTGTTCTCGCTGATAAACTGCGCACGCTCCATGTCCGTCCTCCATCAGAACCTTCTCAGCGGTCCCCTGCGAGATCTGCATCTCCTCCCAGGCCCACCAGAAAAGCTCACAGTCTCGGCCAAGTAGAAGATGAGCGACGCCAACTATCAAAGCAACTGTCAATTGAACTTCAGGAGAAGGTGCTGGAGCAGAGGTCAGGACGAAGCCTGGAGACGACCTCAGGAGCGCTAGACAGCCTACAAGTTCCCGACGTCCCATTGTCCGTCAGTCCTGAGAGTCTGTCGCGGTCTTCCCCACGCACCTGTTACTCACTGGACATCTCGGATTCGTCTGAGCCAAACTCGCTAAATTCTGGCGACCAGTTTCTTCTGGTAGTACAGAAGCCTGGTCGGTCTGGCCGCAGTCATAGCCTCCCACCTGAGCCAGTGAGTGACCCTGAGACTAGTGACTCTGAAGTGTCAGTCAGAACAGTTGTCCACAAAGATGTGGCCGGGAAGGTGAAGTTCTTTGAGAAGCGAGCACGTCGTAACTCGAGGTCGTCTGAGCGCCATTCTTCACGAGGCAGTCGACTGAACGTGGACGAGGTACCTCACTACGCCACTCTTCCTTCCCGATTGAAGCAACAGTCTCAGAGTAAATTACTGTCACCTAGCTACCTGCCAGAGAGATCCGTTTCATCTGTGAACTTAACAAGTAAAGCAGATGTTGCCTCTCAAGCGTGGAGGATCTATGACAAAACCAACCCCGTTAGTGGGTCGTCGGTGCAGCGCCTCGCTGACTCCTCTCGGGACAAGAAAGAACAAGGGGATGCTACATCACGTTCCCGCTCCTACCTCTACCACGTCAAGACTGGTGATGTCAGCCGCCTTAGAAACCGCTACGAAAGCCCCGAGGATGTCAGACGACGCGCTAAATCCCTGCCAGATGTGAACGGCCCCCTGTCACGTGTTACTCCCACAGGCAAGACAGTTGTTCGTGGCCAAGAGGCGGGCGACGTGCAATACATCAGGGCCAGATATGAAGCACCGAGGCGCTCCCGCAGCCCTGACCGCTGGCAGCCCACCCGTGATGAGTACTTACCTAAATCTAAGTTAACATCAACCCTTCAGTCACTAGCTGCTCGCTCACCGGCCTTCAGTGAACCCAACACTATAGAGAGGCTGGCTCGCCGGGACTCAGTAGAGAAGGCTGTTTTACGACGAGTATACACAGGCAACGTGGAGGCTTCAGTTGACCGTCTGGAGAGTAAGAAACAACACTACGGGTCAGGAGTGTCTATCATCGGTCAGATGTACACCTCAGCTCCGTCAGTCAATGAGTTGGCGACCATGGCTCCTCTTGTGCCGCCCCGGCCGCCTCCACCCCTCATGGGACCACAAAAGCCTCAGCGCCTGTCACGCGGCAACCCACAGCCTCTCTTAACCTCGACGCCTACACCCTCGCCGGGGTACACTCGCGCCGCCCACAAACAGCGAGCTTTACAGGTGCCTGAACCAGTGTGTCCCCCGCCCATCACTGTCCATCCACCGCCCGGATCGTTTGCTACCTTCTCCCGCCATTCTGCCCACTATAATCCAGACGCCCACCGCCCAAAGTCCCGCTACATCCCACCTGAATCCTACGGGACATCCTCGCCCAGGTCCTACAGCCAGATTCATGGACCGAATTGGACACAATCTCTGGAGCGGCCTCATCGTGTAACTCGCGCCATGACCCACAACACCCCGCCCCCAGCCTCCCAGCATGGCACCCACTGTTACACCCTCCGCCACCACCACAACCACTCCCGCGGCCACCACCAGCCACCACCACTGCCCGCCAAAAGTTCTTCAGCCGACCACCACACATACTCTCAGCCATACTCCTACTCCCACACCTGCTCCCAATACACACGACCACACCATCACTCCCACCATCACTCCCACAGTCAAGGGAGGGACCAGAGCTACAGCAGCAAGGCCGTCTCCTGGAAAGGTGCTCGAGTTTTTTATTTCACGGCTTAAGTCTGGAATGACCCGACTCGTTTCTTCTCTGGTGGCGGTCTTCAGTCTTCCCTTCCAATTGGGTCTTTATTTATGACATGCCATTTCAAGACTCTTTTTGTAGTATTGCCTCTCGTGTAAGATCTTGGACTGGAGGCTGTGAGCAGATGTTGTTCTCTCCCTCACACCTGCTGCCTCATGAGTCAAGATCTCCCTCATTTTCCTCTCTTTCTTCAAGGTGTCTCCCTATAACCCATTATCTCATCACCTATTAAAATAAACATCTAAATCTCGTGTTATTCCATCCATCATATATATATATATATAAAATATATATATAATAAGAGAAAACAAATTAATGTGCATGCTAAATTCTTTCCATATTATTGTATCTTAATATTAATGTTTAAAAACTACAAAAAAATATATATAAACATGCCAATGACTATTTCTTGTGCATTGCTAGGTTTAAATTACTCGTCTAATATACATGTTATTTTTGGTGGTATAAATTACATGACTCAATCACTCACTCGTTGTTGCAGTCAGTTGGAGGTTTAACCCACCCCTTGTGTTATCAGAGCCTCTGTTTACACTCTACCTGAGATACTTATTTCCTGTACATGTGTATTCTATCCCATTAAACCCATTATACACCTGTTATCCCATAACCATTCTGTTCCTGTTGTATCATTCCCATTATTATTCTATTCTTATATTCCATACATTCACCATAACATTATTCCTATGTTCTTTGCACTCTCTTTTATCGTTTTGTATTTTTTAATCTCTCCTATGTCCTTCTCTTCCATCTTTTTTCATTCATTCTTTTTTTTCTTCCTTCTACCGTTTTACACCCATTCTTCTTCTTTTTTCATTCTCTTCTTTACATTTCACTTCCTTTTCTCTTAATAGGTTTTGTCTCTTGCATTATCACCCTTTTCTTGTATCTTGTGTTCATTTAATTTTCACCCTTCTTTTCCTTTTATTCACCCACACATTTTCTAGTCACCTTTTTTTGTCAGTTTGTCACCCTCTCTTCCTTTCCACGCTACCTCTCCCTTTTGCCAACCCTCCCTTTTGCCCACCCCTCTCACATCATTCACTTCCCTCCCCTTTCACGCCCCTGTCACCCCTCTGCCTTGTCACATCACTTTGTACTTTCCTCCCTTTTCACGACTCCCTTCTTTTCACGTCACTGTCGTCCCTCCCACTTCTTGCCCTCCCTTTCTACGTCACTTTGTCACCCCTTACCGTGTGGTCATCTCGCCCAGAGCCGGTGGTGGGTCCTCTCCCGTTCCCCTACCTGTCGGGAGGGCATCAGGCACCCCCCGCCCGCCCAGGTAAACACGAGCGTTGGTCACCTACCTCCTGCAACACGCCCACTAAAATATCTGCAACATGGCTAGTGTGATCTGCAATATGACTTGTCTAATTTTCAATGAGTATAGTCAGACTCACTAAAACATCTGCTGTATCGCTCATGTGATCTGCCATTAGTATAATCAGGCCCTCTTCAGTTTTGCAATATGGCTAGTGTGATCTGCAATGTACAGTCGGGCACGCTAATTAGGATGCGTAAATACTAGGTGTATCACGTAACTCAGAATTAGGAGACGTACAGTAAATATTAGGTGTTTTACGTAACTTTGAACTAAGACACGACGTAATATATATATATATATATATATATATATATATATATATATATATATATATATATATATATATATATATATATATATATATATATATATATATGAAAGAGAACACTTAGTTCCCAAGTTAGTTAAGGTTTCAAATAGCAAAGGAAAGCTAAGTTATGTTGGTATCAGTTATAGAATGGTTATAGTTACATTACACAACTCTGCCTGAACTAATTAGGATACACACAATAATAATTGGTTCCTCTCAACTGAAGCGCGGTGGTCGAGTGAATACAGAGCTCATCTGTTCCAGGGGTGGGTAGTTCGATTCTTGGGCTCTCCCAGTTCACTCGGCTGTAAAAGAGTACCTATGTTTACAACTTGGAGACGTGAATGCGGTAGATAGCAGTACCGGCCATGCTGCTTGTGAGTATAGTGTGCGGTTCCCACAGTCCCTAACGGGTAGTCAGTGCCGCAGCCTATGGGACTTTTATCACATCACATTTAGCCTAGTATTAAGTTTTTACTGTATCAAGAAAATGAGGTATTATTGTCTAGATTTAGTTACACCAGCTAGCTCTTTTACACTAAGTATGTGTATAACTAGGTCATATTAACTAGCTTTCTCTTAGTTCCTAGTTGTTGAGGTAGCAGAGCCTAGTCTATATTGTTGAGGTAGCAGAGCCTAGTCTATATTGTTGAGGTAGCAGAGCCTAGTCTATATTGCAGATCCTCCTCCTCCTGCTGCGGCCAGTGTAAATAATGGGTTGCCAGTATTAAGTTGTAACTCAAATGTGAATATAACAATCTTCTTCTCTTTTAACAATTATTCTGCCATTCGGTCGAGTCCTGCATAATATTAAACGCCTGCACATAAAAAAATGCCGGTAACTAACTGCCTTCTCTTTCTCTCGCTCTCTCTCTTTCTCTCTCCTTCTCATCCTGTAAGATGTAAAGTAGCTAAAACCACTATCTGTACATACTTTGTGGGAAACAGTTTGAGACCATGGACGAAAAGTTTTGGTATATGATGGCTGTCACTAGTCACACGTAAAATTTCGGAGCATGTCGACCCCCACCTGAACAGATAGGTGTTTTAGCTACTGTACATACAATATATTTATATTTATTTTGTTGATTTTATGTTTAGGAAGATATCCTTCGCCGAGATATTTTATCTGAATTTCAACTATTCTTTTGAGTCAAGTTTTTCGCCCCAGAACTACATTACTGCTCTTAATTTAATATATTTTCGCCCGAGGAGTTGATTGATGTAAATTCACATAACGAGAGGCAGTCATGCAGTAAATACGATTTTTTCCCCGGTGTTGAAGTACGATTATATCTTTATTAGGTAAACTGCCCATATGTACGTAAACACATTTAAAATAAATGTTCCATTTGTAGAAAATTCCAAGAAACAGATGAGGGTGGAGGGGGTTGGTCACGCTGTCTGTCGCGCGCGCCGCCGTGTCGTTGAGCCGCTGCCTCCCCTTCCTGTGATATAAATTTGTCTAGAAATGTTCCACGAAATCCATGGTAGTGTAATATGTTAGTATAAATGTACGTAGTAGATTAACATTGATTATAACGAAGGCCACAGATTAGCTCATTAAATGTATAATAAATGAAGAAAAGAAATATAAAGTACGATAATTGCTATACTTAAAACATTGACAAAAATAATAAAAGAGAAAGTACTTGACGGTATAAATTGCCGATTGGTTTGTTGTGCCAATTCCTCTTAAACACACCTACGATCCCGATATGTTTGGCAAACACCGCAAGGTAGCCTAGAGGTGTTGATAGTGAACTCCTCCACACACGTAGGTATTCTTATGTTCACATTCCCCGAATTCGAGGGTATTATACCGTGCTTCCATGACGACAAGTGGGTAGACATCTGGTGTCCTTGCGCTCAAATTCTTTGAATTAAGACGTCTTGACAAAACACTGCATACCTACGGCTGAGGGTTGTCCACGTTGCTTAATTTTTACTTGATCTGTGACATCCACGACCACGAGATACTACTCTACATAATGTCTTCCGGTTCATGCGCGTCTTACGCACGTGGCGAGGGATGCCAGAACAAATAATAATAATAACTATTATAATTAATAATAGTTACTTTGACCATTATAATCAGATTTCTTCGGGTATGTTGGAATGGATAAGGTAATATTATATGCTACGTGAGAATTTATGCAAGTGGATTATCACCATAGTGGTGGTGGCAACCTTTACCACCACCAGGTATGGTTGGGTAGAAGCCTCTACCATCACACCACCACAACTAAGGGATGCCACTTGTGCGCGTCCCTCAACCAACACTATTTCGGGTTGGTGAGAAAGAAGCGCTGGGGTGACGCCGCCGGTATTCTGAATATAGGGGCTTAAGAGTTGCTTAACACTTTAACGGTCGAGTAACGTACTAAATGAACTCTGAAGGGTAGTCATATTTTTATACTTGTAGTTACAGCTCGACCAATAAGGTACTGTATAATGTTGAAAATGACAGTGATAAGCTGTTATTCTCCTAATTAGGCGCGTGAATGTGCGTCTGACTCGCTTTGAGTATTTCAGTCATCTATACTGTATATGGCTGCAAAAAAGAAGAATTTTTGTTTCAAGTATTTTGTAATTGATGTGGAACTTTAAATTAGATTGTAATGCGAGGTACACTGGATATTGTACTTATTTGTCATATGAGGAACTCAGTTGCCTTCACTTTCCTAAGCCCTCCTCACTACACTCAAAGTTCATTCTTGAGCGTAAGTGTAAATGATGAAATATTGTGAATAGTAAAGATAACATTATATGCAATGTGTAGCAACAAGTGAGTTGTATCACGTATACTTAGCTCGTCATTCAGCGCTGTTCAGTAGTTGTGAATAATGTTTGAGGCTGTTATTTCGCATACATTTCATATGAAGGTCGCTGATACAGTATTCATTAACTCATGTACCAGAGCGCATCCCAGGAGCAATAAATTCTCTTTTTGAGTTCTCTCACTCGGAAACTTATCCAAGTTCTCTCTGCCCCGGGCGTGGCGTCAAGCTAGTTATAAATAGTGTCTGCGTCCATGGCGGCGAGACCACCTTTGATTTTTTTTTTTTTAAGTTTTTAACCTTGTAACATTTCCACGCAGCTGGTGCTAACACTTCGGTTCTATTTCCTCGTTAACTGTGCTTATTATTTTAAAATTTGCTGTAAGAGATCGAAACATTAGTTTGATTCCTGGTAAGATCATGCATGAGCTTCAAATAGTTTCGTTTTCGAAATGTTTACTTTGGATGAAACCACTTAGGCTCAAATTAAGTACTTGGCTCGCTCTCCTCACACGGTTGCCGGCTGCCTTCACCATCGCCGGAAGGATTTTAAACATAACTTGTAATTATTTACTTCTTGATAGTATGTATATCTACTTGCTGCATTTAACCTCGGTTATACTAAACAAGTCGGCCTTAGTCACCTTTACCTCTTCTTAATGCTCTTAAAATAACCCAAACCAAAACATGTACCATAACCCTCCTCCCTTACCAGCCTTCAGACCCCAGCACGCTTCTGTTTCACGTTTAGTGGTTCTTGACAGTTGGTGGTTGTAGTGCTCCTCTCTGCTCTGGGTAGAGCAACGCATTCAGTGGCTCACTCACTCCTCGTGTTTGGGGGAGTCTTGAATAGCGCCGTAGTGTGGGGTAGTTCCTTGTGGCTTCTACTTTTGGTGGCTGGCGAGGCATACTCGGTGTAATGCCTTTAATACGAGGTACTCCGTACATTACTTGTACTGTACACGTATTCACCTCCGTTATTAATGCATTGTCTCTCCTGGTGATGGCTACTAACTACTTTACAAACTTGTCCTTGGCTAACTCTCTAATGTCTTTTATTTCATGTCTGTAATATTTCTAGGTAAAAACAGTAAGTATATTTACCCAATTATACTGCGTGCATGGCTGTAGTTCTCACTGGTGTTGTCTCTGCTCTACACTGTTTTTACCTACTTCTTGTTTTGGGTGATGTATGAGAAAACCGCTACGACCAGAAACAGTGGTTCGATTTTGTTATTTTTTTCCACAAATGTTTTAATCATTAATGTAAGCATTTTAAAAGAGACGACATTTACTAGAACCTAATAGAACCTGATTTAACCAACCAAAGAAACCTACCTAACCTTACCTAATTTCCAAGCCAAAGGTACCAATGAAAACAACTTTGTTAAAGCGTCATAGTGTAATTTAGTTTTTTGTGGACGTGACAGTACTCTTGGCCCTAGCTGGTCGTTTGTGAACAGACGGCACGTGGTGACTCGGCATACTTTTCGGAGGAGTGTTTACGGTAATTAATTAATTAATTTCTTCACGTACACACCACGTAGAGACCTCATTTTAGTGTCACATGATCAGTTTTTCACCTTATTGTCGCCTCTTTTAAAATACTTTCTATAATGATCAGAACATTTGCGTTAAAACTGAACTAAATCAAACAACTGGTAGTGACAGTTTCCTTATAAATTACCCTGGTTTTTCTAAGTTAAAGTTTTTGTATTTTTATTGATATTGTTTGAATAATTTTTGAAATGCAATTTTGCATTTTGCAAACCTTTTATGTTTTACAAGTGTAAATAAAACTTTGTGATATAAATACATACTGTTTGAATCAATTAAAACGTGGAATATAGTATCATACTTCTCAAATGAATAATATAACGTAATAATAACGTACAGTAATGTGTAATGTTGTTTTGTATCTCACTCAATATAAATTTATAGTCAATGAATAAACCAAACATACTACAGTACAGTAGTATATGATTCTTGCACCACTGCCAAAATCAGATTATTGACAACAAGGAACTTTACAGAATCACCATATAAGTATGAGTCAGGAGAAGTGAACATCCACTATCGGACTCCTGTAAGGATTGAACAGAAGGAAGCCATCCCTGAGGAGGAGTTGGCGCGCCGTCAGGAGGAACACATGAAGAAAGTCTACGAGAACGAGAGACGTAAGAAATACCTGGCGGAATTGGAAGACATTGAGCGCCGAAGACACACTGATAACTTTACGTGAGTACCAAGAACATGTTTGGTGTATTGATAGTTATGTAACCGTTACCTGCACCAGTAGTGTAGTGTATTTCTTGTGTCTCGTGAAAGGAAATTGGGAATTCTTGCCATGATCTGGGAATGCTTTGTTTAAGGGGAATGTTGTGTCATGTTCTGTATGTGTTATTTATATCTGCTCGAAGGATGTTCTCTGAGCATGTTCGCCTCGGTCCGACTAATTACCCAAATGTAGCCGCAATGAAGTCAAATGATGGTCGTACAAGCATAATTCGGACTGTGAATCACTTCTCGATTATTATTTGGTGTCATAAAGTAAAAAAAAATTGGTAAACTTAATTTAATCTGAGTTAGGTTAGGTTAGGTTAGGTTAGGTTAGGTTAGGTTAGGTTAGGTTAGGTTAGGTTAGGTTAGGTTAGGTTAGGTTAGGTTAGGTTAGATTAGATTAGGTTAGGTTAGGTACATGCACTCGATCTATTAACTCAGATTAAATTATGTTTTCCACTTTTTTGTGACTTTCTGACACCAAATACTAGTCGAGAAGTGATTGGCGGTCCGATTTATTCATCTAGGACCATTATTTGACTTCATTCCGGCTATATTTGGCTACATTTGGGTACATTTGGGTAATTAGTCGGACCCTGTTCGCCTTTTAAGCTATTGGATATGCACTGTATTCACTGGCTCTTAGAATAGAATTCTTCAATACGGTACTAATAGTTTGGATATAAGTAAACTTATTTTGTATTTAACTACAGTAGATCCATGTGGTCATTATTATAAGTTAAATTTATTCATATTTCATAAGTTAAATTTTGTTGAACTGAATTTGAATGTGGAATTGAGCATACATATACAGTATATGACATACAGCTGAAAAACACAGGAGCTTTTAGTGTGTGCATGTTACAGTAAGTTTACTCTGGCATGGTGTAAGTTGGTTGGGTATTGTTAGTTTTGCATGAAGTGTATTTTTTCTCATATGTATAGTAATGCCTTAATGCTGATAATACTGTAATTTATTATAACTTCTTGAAATTATGAAGCTGATGAAGGGGACTACTGTTACTACACTGAAATACCATCTGAGTAAAGACCACAAAGTTTATGTTGTAATTCTGTTGATATGATCTGATGTATGTGAAGACACGTGGAGAGAGAAATGCTGCACAGGGGGTTCTGACTTAGGAATGTCCGACTTACTTAACACCACGATCTGAACGAGATCCCATAAAGTTGAACGAGCTATATATATATATATATATATATATATATATATATATATATATATATATATATATATATATATATATAATTTTTTTTTTTGCGGGGATTATCCCACCTAGGCACATTAGACAACAAACACTGTGCTTCCAATATCTTCTCAGGCAGTAGTACCTTCCTGTTTGATAGCTGTCTGCTACCTTTACCTGGTGACTTATTTTTTACTTTAATTTTCTGTATTTTGTCGTTCTATTTCTTCTGTTCTCTTTAATTAAGTGATTTTTTATGTACATAAAGACTTAGGCTATGATATAGTGGGATTATAAACATTTTCGACTTAAAAACGTCCATAGGAACAAAACTCATATGTAACCCGGGGACTGCCTGTAATTGGTTTTGTTCACTGGAGATATGAATGAGAAATGAAACTCTTATTCTGGAGTAGCCATATTATATTGGCATGATAAAGATTATAGATTGATCTGCCACAGGAAAACAAGATAATTGATTTCAACAGTTGGAATACGATAGGCAGGAAAGGTTAAACTAACTGGCTTTTTAATCACCTTTACAGTGTTCTGAACTCATGTTTTTCCTTACCACACCAACGTTGTACACTGCTGTATATTATAACCTATACTGTATATCATTTTGTCTTTCTTAATCTTATGTAATCCTTTCCTACTTTGCACATCCATGTACCAGCCTTATGTGAAGTACTGCATCAATCATGAGTTGGACACTTGTACTGTTACAAGGTTCACGGAATTTGACACATCTGTTTGATCAATATTGTGCATTAAACATAATTAGTGTGTGTGATTTTAATAAATTTTAGTTATTTATGTACACATTTATAAGAATTGTGTATATAAAAACGTACCTCTTGGACAAACTACAGAAGTACTGACCATTATCATGGGCATTTTCAGGCCATTTTGAAGCCTTGTGCACTTGATACTAGGAAATATTCTGAGTTCAATAGTTACTAATTTTTTGCTTTACAAAAATGCCTGACAATACTGCATTGAAGAAAAAGTATTGGAATTTTCTGATGAAAAGGGGGGTTGGGGTTCGGACCCCTAGGAACCCCCTTGGATCCGCACCTGCAGATGATCATGATGGTGACAGATAAGTAAGTACCCGTACCTTAAGATTCTTCCCCACCACATATCCTTGACAAGCTACTTCAATGCCAGTTACTGATAATGTTTCTATATCTTACATATTATTAAGGGAGTAAAATTCATTGTGTCCTATGATTTGTAGGGGAATTTCGGTATAATCTGATGAGTAAAGGAATTGCCCAGAGGTCTCATTAACTGAAAAACTGACTTCCTGTAATTCCTAAAAACTTAAAATCGTTGATGCTGCTTCTACAGTTGCCACCAAAAATGCCATATCTTCATCCTTCATCTCCTCTTCCATGACATTCATCACATTTGAGACAATTGGCTGTATTCAAGATCGTTTTATGTGAGTTCTACTCGTGAGGAATCCTCACTTTACTTTACTTTTTTAATTTTACTTTTATCCTCTTCACCACTGATTGGCTCGTCAGCCGCTTGGGTGATCGGTCACGTCTCTGTTACGCACTGTTGGCAAGTGCTGGGCATGCACCGGCTCCTGAATATACTTGAACCTGTTCCAGTGTTGGTCAAGTCTGGTCTTGAAAGAGCTCACACTTGGTGCCGTCACAACACCTTATTGCAGATTGTTCTAAGAGTTCACAAATCTCACTCCGAAAAAGTTTGCCCTCACAGTTTTCTGGACCTGCAGCTTCTTCAGCCTTGAGCTGTGACCCCTTGTGGAGCGAGAGTCTGCCAGCTCCAGGTAAGGACACTGAGTAGTGCCCCTTAAGATGCTTATACACCTCAACTAGGTCCCCCCTTGCCCGTCTGTAGTATAAGCTAGGCAAGTTCAGGCGCTCCAATCTCTCAGGGTAGCTAAGGTGCCGAAGTGCAGGCACCAGTCTGGTGGCCCTCCTTTGAACATTTTTAATCAACTGACAGTCCCTAGTATATCTCGGGGACCAGACGGGGTGACATTACTCCAGATGGGGAAGCACTTCACTCTTGAAGATCGTTACAAGGGACGGACCGTCTAGATATCTGAACGACCTTCTTATAAGACCTAATAATTTATTTGCCTGATTTACCCTCTTCTCGCAATGGCCCGAGAACTTTAGCTCATTGTCAACATACACACCTAGGCTCCTTCTCACATTCAGTCTCAAATAGTGCGGTTTCTTCATCCTTTTGGGACATGTGATACTCCTCCTTATCGATGGTACGCCCCAGGTGCATCCTCTTACACTTCATGACATTGAATCTCAGCAGCCATTTCTTCGACCATTCTTGGAGCTCACAGTGGTCCTTCTGCAGCTCTTCACAGTCTGCTTGGTACTTGATTTCCCAAAATAACTTGGCATCGTCTGCTGTATTTGTGGTGAATGATCCTCAAAGATCATCCTAATAATATAGTTATGTATTTAAAGATAAATGATTTATGTCAGTCAGTTGTTTGGATCACCGGATGAACAGTTCCCAGCTTAATTCACCTGATGATGAAACACCCTAATGCTACCTGGGGTGTTATATTAAAATTAGACCAGGTTAGCTTTAGGTTGTGTTTTGGTAAGTCAGTTTAGGTTATACTAGGGTAGGTTAGTGTTAGTTTAGAAGAGCATTAGGTTAGATTAGTCCTGTACTTCGGTTAGATTAGCATTAGGTTAGAATAGGTTAGGTTACATTAGGTTAAGCTAGCATTACAGCAGCTAATCTTTAGATGAAGTAAACTGGGGGATAGTCTTCAGGTGTTCCATTATTTTTTACAGAAATCTTTATTATTTTAAACCTTTTTTGACTTCGAGTTGTATTGTTAAATCTTCTGCCTCCCATTATATTATTGTTGCTACCGTTGGGACTATATTTTTCAGTATTTCTCAGCATGTGAATGTTCGTTATAAAAGTATTTAATCATGAATGCTCTATGCAGTACCTGTAGTTTGAAATTGGTTGGTTAATGGAAAGACTCGGATTACAGTACTACATTTATTCAGCAAGATATGTACCCTATCTGTTGTAGTTTTCAGTAATACACACATGTATACTGTAGTGTGTACTGTACTGTATTTTATATTTGCCTGTAGTTTTACCCATTACTTTATTTCGTATTGTTTTGAGTATTTCATGCCAATTTGCACCTTGTCGTTGGTATTTGTAACTTTGATTTGAAATACTGTATACTTGTCCTTACCCAAAAATAAAAATAAATCTTTCCACATCTCAGTGCATGAATCTGCCAGTGCACAAATATTTACATTTTATTTTGTATTATTTAAAGGAGAATTTATTTTTAAATAACATTATTTATATTCTGCTTTAGTTCTAAAAATCATATAAGTTCTTAGTATCTAAAATAGTCAATAACATAAGTAATATTAACATCTCCTTATTCATAGTTTTCTTAGTGTTGTTAATTGTGTGATTTTGCTAGTGTGCTGTGCTTGAACCCCTTGTTTGTTTTGTGTAATTCCTCAGTAATTCCTTTTGATTGGCTACAAGGAAGACTAAATCTGGCCAGTCAGTTCACTTTTACAATACTTCAACATTCTACTTCTGTGTCATTATTTTCCATACCTAACCATCTGTTCTTTATATACTTTGGATCCTTTTCATCCTAACCAAACTCTTGCCTAAATTTACCTGTGTTTGTTAGTCTGATAGCTTATGTCGACCTTCAACCTTACTCCTTGCCATATTCCGTCATCTCGTCATCTTTGGCCGTCTTTGTGTTGTTCAGTTTTTGTCTCTTTCTTTTTACTTTTATTCTCTTCAGCACTGATCAGCTTGATAGCCGCTTCGGCGGTCGGTCATGTCTCTGTTACGCACTGAGTATTGGCTTTGTCTTTTTTTACAAACTCGCAATCAACCATGACTTTATTGTCGCCTCATATCAACACCCATACATGCCCAGTACTTGCCAGCAGCTCGTAACAGAGAATAGATTGACCTCGACCAGCTAGTGTTCTGTCAAGTGGGGAAGAGGGTGAACAAAATCTTATACTGTAGTGTAAAGTTAGACCTGTGTTCCTGTCATCAGTGTTCTTTAGACAACTGTACTTCATCAACACCATTCTACAACAGGATCTATACTCCACCGAGCTCCGTCACTGGTGCGTAGACCTTCATCATACAACAGACACCAAGGTCAAACAGCACCCATACCTCATCATCCATGGTCTATACACAATCATATTACACCTATTGTTTATACTCAACTATATTACATCATCTATGGTCTATACACAGCCTTGATACATCAACATTGTGCTCTTACCCATACTCAACAGGTACCCACAACTCCACACCTGTTCATTTTTCCAATTCTCTCCCTCTATGCCAAAGCCATATTACATTAACTGGTGGTCCTTAATCAGGCATGATAAAAAAAAAAAATCATCGTGGATCTGAATGGAGCAAATGAGAAACTCTAACTTTTTGGTTATTAGAAAAAGACTAGGTAAGATAGCAGTTGATTACCAGTAGATGAATCAAGTGGTAATAACGGGCAATACAGAAACCACTCCAAAATGGCATCACATTCTTCTCTCCATTAGAGGTGAAGGTATAAACTAGGAACAAAATAAGTTCTGGAATCTACTAAAGTACTTCCTATGGAGAAGCATTTGTACTGTGTGTTGTTAAGAGTGTAATAGCCATCCCCATAACACACCACTATGGTTTCTCCACAAGTGCATGTACATATACAGTCGCCTGAATCACCAAATTTATGAACGTTGAATTTCACACCTTCCATCTACCTCCATGATCTACCAACCCCTATGTCTGTCAACTCTGTTCGTCAAGAGTGTTCCAACAACCCTACGTTCAGCTAATTCCCATATTTTACTGTCTCTTTCATTTAGTAATTTCCCATACTACTCCATTTAAATTTAATTTAGTCTGTATCTCTCTTCTTTTTTCTACTTTCTAGACATCTCTCTCTCTCTCTCTCTCTCTCTCTCTCTCTCTCTCTCTCTCTCTCTCCTTCTCCTCCACTTTCTCCTTCTCCTCTTTCTCCTTCTCCTTCTCCTCTTTCTCCTTCTCCTCTTTCTCCTTCTCCTTCTCCTCTCTCTCACACACACACACACAACCTCAGCCTTCATGACCTCTCCCAGCGAGCCAGTCTGACTAGGCATCATCTTACAGTTCCCCTCAGGCGCGGCGTCGATACCTGTCCACCCTCAAAGTTGTGTCCCGTCTCTTCTCCTCCGTCTTCTCCCTTGTGCGGAGTAAACACTGCCACCCCAAGGCCACTTCACCAGATATTGAAGTCCACATTGATAGTGAAATACGAAAGTGTGATAAAGAATTGATGGAATGCATACATAAAGAGACAGATGGGATTGCAGTGTACATATCAGAGGAAGTGTATGTGTAGTGTAGTGCACTTGACAGTGGTCCTCCTCTTGTCAGAAAATGACCAACATAGCGAGATGGGTATTGGACATAATTGGTTGGTTAAAGAAAGGCAAATTTCTGTACAGGAATTTGAGAAAAAAAAAAACTGTACAAAATGTATGTATTTACAAAAATCTCAAGTATCTGTATATACACCCAAGACTTTACCCGAGGAAACCCTGAGTTTTCTTGGTGTAAGCAATAGTGGTTAATTTTAGAGCCGACACACTTAGACGTTATAGTTTGTGTTAACCATTCTGCATGACGTGAAGATGCATGAAGGTATGTGCTTCAGTTTTTGTTAACTTATGTAGAATTAATTTTATTTGTTTTATTATGGTCTGATTTCATGGTACAGTAGTTGGAATTTATAAATGGGAATAGATTATTCATACTGCTGCATTAAAACTGGAAATTTCTTTAATTTGCCACTTAGTAATATTGATCTTTTAGCTTACAGATGTAGTACAGTACTTGTATACCCAAGTACATACACGCATAGATGTTTGTTTACACTCATAGATGTTCTGTACAGTGTCTTGAAAAGTATCTGCCAGGATGGGTTTGATGACTTCAAAATGCTACATGCAACTCGTCATGTCTCGGGAGGGTCGGTAGGCTCTGTGGCATACTGATCCAACTGCATTTGGTAACCGAACATCATATTTATTATGCCGAAATAAATTACTTATGTTAAACTATATACCAAAGTAAATGCGTGTCCCAATATCTATCATCTGTCGTCTCATAATGTTTCACACAGTGAGTGAACAGATACTTTTTTGAGATACTGCAGTACATACATTGTTACTGTACCCACACACTTAAAAATGTACTTGCATACTCATATACATGCCCACACAAACCAACCACACACACACACACACACACACACACACACACACACACACACACACACATGCAGGCAACTATTTTGATGTGCCTTAATATTATCATACACTATCTACTTGAATATCTGTGTGACAGCTAAATGCTATACTGTTTACTGTATTTCAGATCTTGGAAAATGTAATACTTGTAATTACACAGACATAACTTTACCCATTGCTTTATGTTTGAGGTTATTATATAATACAGTATTTGTAGATAGGCAAGTTGATATATTGATGAGTTTCAGATTTCCTTGTGAAAAAATCATGTTGTGTTTGCCTTGAATATTACTGTAGAAGGTATTTTGGAAATTAAGTTATACCTTATTACTGTGCTTTCTCTATACAAACATACTTACGCCTCTTTCACACGCATTTTTTGTGTCGCTCGACTTAGAAATCAATGGGGTTCAATGGGACCTTTCACACAGAAGTCCATTAAACTCCATTCATTTCTAAGTCATGCAACACAAAAAACACTCATGTGAAAGGAGGCCTAAGGGAAAGATGCCTAAAAAAAGGGAGGGAATAATAGAGGAGTGGAAACTGGGAATATTTATTATGATAATACTGTAGTTCACCCTTAATCATGATCATACTTAAAAGTATTCGACAATACAATACAGTGTTAGCTCTTAAATAGTCACTGTTTACCATTTCAACATAACTATGTAGGTGGCAAAATTAATTAATACAGTGCAGTATACAGTATACAGATTGTGATTATTTATATAAGTGAATAAGGTAACTACATGAATATGGTCATTACAAATATGTATGTTCTTAGGTTTAGATTCATTAATTAGAATACAATTTAATTATGATTAATGCTTAGTAAGTTTTGTCTTATATTTAGCAAAATTAAATAGATATAAGAGCTGTACCGGTATGTGTTACTCTATAAAGCACCAAACATATTTTCAATGGTATTTTTTTTTACAGGCCATTACAGAAATCCCCAATTCCTTTGAATCGATACGACGATGAAAGTAGTCTGGGCACTTTACGCGGCACCAGAACACCAGATCTCAAGCAGGTTGCGAAGGCATTGTACAACTTTACTGCACAAAATAAGAGGTGATGTATCTGTACACAGCTCTGGATGGAAGTCACTTATGTTGTGGGGTACAGTACAGTACAGTACAGTGTATTACATCACTGTATAATGTTTTGGTAGTTAATGTTATTCTATTGTAGCAAATACTGTAGCAATGTAATAAATTTTCATAATTTAATCACCAAGACCTGTACATGAATGATTTTTATATTAGGCAATTTGAAGCACTGACAAAAGCTGATAATTGCTTCATATACTAATTTACTTAAATTTGTATTGACTGTTGTAGCTGTATGATTATGTACTGTGACCTTGTATATTTTATGATTTTGTTTTTAATAAAATCTATAATATTTTTTCCCCACAGGGAACTGTCATTCAATAAAGGTGAAATTGTCTTCATCCGTCGACAAATAGACAAGAATTGGTTTGAGGGAGAGTTGCGAGGTTCAGTTGGTATTTTCCCCTGCAACTATGTTGAGGTAACCCCTTGTCTTGTTTTTACATGGAGAAAATATAGTAAAGATTATCCACATCAGCATAAATAATACTGTAGTTTCTATGTGTAACTAAAGAGTAGTTTCAGTGTAAATTTTAATGATGGAATATGAGTTATAGCATATCTGGCACTAGTTTTAAATCTTTGAATTGTTTTCATCAACAGATTGTGCCTTATGAGAACATTAAGACACTGACCAGGAAACCTACAGAAGGTCAGGCAAGATCCAGATTCAATTTCCAGGCTCAAACCTCTATGGAGATGTCCCTCAGCAAAGGTAAGTACTGTACTGTACTGCACCGGGAAGTCACGTTGGACCTTTTTTAACAACCTATTTAACACCTATAGTAGTTTACTTCTTCATGATTTATACTGCACTATATACTGCCGCTAGTCACCACTAGTAAAGAAAAACACTGTTCAGAATTTTTACCAAATACACTCTGTACTGTAGTTGGATCAATTTTCTCTTAACACACATTTATGTTTCTGTCTCTCTATAATTGCGGTGTGTACAGTACAGTATTTCCATCAGTGACGGGGGTTTATTCATTTGTAAAGTATTGTTCACATTGAATTTGTAATTGAATAATTGATAAATGTAAAACCATTGAGATAATCAGCTAACAGTAACAGGAGATCTACCTGTTGTAATTCAATTAGTCGAGATAAGTCGGGTAATTACCTTTAACCAACAGGAGAGTTGGTTGTCTTGACTCGACGTGTGGATGAGAATTGGTATGAAGGACGGATAGGTAATCGTAAGGGCATCTTCCCAGTCTCTTATGTCGACACGTTGTTAGAACCCGGCAGTGATAGACCCAGTAAGTGAACGTTTCTTAGTGACAAAAGTATCGCTCGGTTTAATAACCTTTTCATAATATAGCAGTTAAGATAATCTTAATATAGAGTTCTGAGTAGGAGATATTAATTTCATGTTACAGTGTAGTATACTGTACTATGTAGAAGAAAAGTAAAAGGTAGATTATACTAGTGAGTTACTAGTGTATTTTTTTATGGGTTAAGTGAGAGAATAATTTATCTTTTATATCTTGTCTTAAAGTTTTTATTATAAATGAGAAGTTTATGGTTATTTAAGGAAATTGTTACTAATAAATTCGAGTTTGGAAAATAAATAAAAATTTTAGTACAGTAATTGATTTTATGTACAGTATACGTATAGGTGTGTGTTGGGCGAGATCATTTTTTTATGTAAATTAGAGATCTGTACTGTTTTATCATAGAGATATTCTGAAATTGATTCAATTTATAGTTACTGTTTAATATAGATAGATTAAAAAAATTTATCTTCATTTATTTCCAGTAACTGTTCATCATTGATTTTCATATGTCATTCAGTTAATTGATATAAAGTAAATTATGAGGAGATAAGGAGTGTTCTTTATAAAATTTGTGATATACTGTACATCATCGTGCTCCTACTGCTTAAAACGTAAATATTTATTCTTGCCAAGTAGAAAGTTTACTCTATTCTGATAGTGAATAGCAGAGAAAAATGGTTCTTTGGTTTGATTTACCCAAGAGAATTTCATAAATTTTTTTGTGAATGTATTGCAAGATGGATATTTCCTTTATTTTATGGATGCACTCAAGTATTTTTTGCCTCGGAAATATTTAAAGAGTTTTTTACATTTTTCATCACTAGTTATTGCACTGGTTTGCTTTTTTTTAAAGTTCTCTGGCATGCTTTACAAACTTATATTGCTAGCAAAACTTCATAGTGAAATAGATCTTGACCAGCCTACATAGACACAGTGAGAGCTTCCATGCTTTGCAAAATTTGATAAGATTTACAATATTATTTTTGTTTATTCAGACTTTTTGCTTGTGGATCAGCTTCATCTTGTTTTAAGTAATTTTTATTTTCTTTATGATGTTGGCAAAGATCTGTATGTATTGTATCTTGTGTATATGTTTGTCTTGCACGTTCTCTACTTTGTGGAACGACTATCAGGATCTGCTGTTGTTGACTTTGCATTCATATGTGCAGGTTTGTAAAGTGAGTGTGTACTGGACAACTTTACATCAGTGGTGTGGAGAATGGAACCTAACTAGACTTGATCATACTCCTTCACATTTATTTTCTGTTTGAGTATTAACATGTGACATGAAAAGTGATCGCTCTTCCTCTCCTTGAGGCAGACAGCCATCATTTTAACTTGGTGTCATAGTATTGAAAAAATGTAATGATATTAATTTTTTTTCTCGTAGTGTCTTTTAATTTCATAGACCCTGTATGAACTGTCACTTATTGAGCATTTCTCTATTTTATATATACTGTATATATATATATATATATATATATATATATATATATATATATATATATATATATATATATATATATATATATATATATATATATATATATATATATATATATATATATATATATATATCAGCAGCAAGTGGATTCCCTCACCCCCCACCCTCCTTAGCAAGGTACTAGTCCACCAAAGGGTTGTGTCACTTAGTAAGTCAACATGATTTACTGCTAAGTGGACAAGGGTGAGTGTACAAAATATTTAACCCAGCCCTCCATTCCATTCAGAAACCAAACCGATGACCATTCAATTGCAAGTTGAATGGTCTCCCAATTGACTATAGCTGAATGGTACAGCATTTGCCCCACAAGAAATGGTCACGGGTTCAATTCCCAACTGGAATAGAAAGAGTTCGCTTGCAGATGGTAGAACAACTCTCTGATGGAGTAGCACTCCTGTCAGTGAGTGGGGGAAATGCTAAGAATTAAGATCATCACATGCCTGCCCTTGCTGTACTACAGCAGGAAGTGGTATTTCAAAATTAAAAGAAACAGACTTACTGAAAGTGTAAGCATTTTGTATTTTGGCTATCATTGGCTTCACCTCATGACCCTCCTGAGGTGAGGAAGAGTGCAAAGATCAGCTTGTGTTCTATTATGAATTAAAAATACTTTGGCTCTGGATGGAATATAGAGTAAATAATACAATCACTGTTAACAGGAAGGACTATAATTCATTAATGATTTTCTCTGGTTTTGTTTTTCTAAAACCTTTTGGAATTTTTCCATTGCTCATTTTTGTTGGGTATAAAGATCAGGTGTGAGCTACTGACAAGAATTTTGTATAGATGCAGTATATTAATGCATAAAACTTATAAGGCTAATTTTGTACGAGAAACCTGAATAATATATCACTTGAATGGTGGTTGCAGGGGCGGATCCAGGAATATCGAGGGGGGGGTAAAAAGTTGTGGGTGGGGGAACACGGCAAGCCCACCCAGCTGGGGGGTTTTGCGGGGTGCTGTAAGGCTCCCCAGAATTTTGTTTTCAAATTTGACCAACATCATGGGCATTTTCAGGCCATGTGCACTTGATAATAGGAGGTATTCTGAGGTCAATAGTACAGTAATTACTTTTCATTTTACAAAAATGCCTGAGTACAATACTGCATTAAAGAAAAAGTATTAGAATTTTATGATGAAAAGGGGGGGGTCGGTACCCCCAGGACCCCTCCCCCTCTCTGGATCCACCCCTGGGATGTTAATGACCTTGTATGCACTGAATATGAATAAATATATTGGGTTGCTCTATGAAAATATACTTGATGTTTATATCTGTGGGTGCAGATAATGCATGAACAGTATATTTTCATGCAAGTCAACATTTATACATAGGTGTCAGAGCAGAAGATTTTTCTTACCTAATAAAAATCCAATGAAACACCTGACCAGTATCCTGAACAAGAGTTTATCCTTCGGTAAGGTGAGGCAACACTCTCAGGAGATATAAAGCTTTCCTGATGTATGTTTGATAAATTATTAATAAAAACTTAGTGTTCAGTTACATTACCCTTGTTCTCAGGCATTTTTTGGAAGTTCCTGGAATACAACCATAAGGAAGCATGAACTCATGTGGTGAAGGAGTTAGGAGTGTCATCTTTCTAGTTTGTGATATAACCCCCTGTGTCTGTCATTCCCTCCCATCACCAGTTGTGAGCCTCAGGCACTGACACACTTGCCAATAAAAAAGTCTAAATTAATGCAATTAAAACATTATGGATTATTAGAGTGAAAATCTTTCCCTCACAACATACAGTACTGTATTATTAATTTTGTTTTGAAGTAATACCTCTCAGTATTGTATGAGAGGTTGTTCAACCTGTGCCAGAACTCTGGGTGTGGCAGCATGCAGCTTTATGTGCTTCTAGTCATCATGGTGTAATACTATACTGGCTTTTTCTCTTTTGCTCCTCTAAAAACCAAATTTCCAATGTTTTTCTCATTAAATCAAACCTTACTTTAAATCCTAATCTGAAAATATTTATGAATACCCAGTACTCTCTGATGGCAGAAGTAGACATCTTTTATTGTTCTTTACACCTGTAGTGATATAATGGGGGTATACTGTATCATTTAAAGTGTAAAGACAGATAGGCACAGTTTACTCAAGATGTGTTACTTTATGCTTACTCTGTACTGATACAAGAAAGAACCTGGGAAGGGAACTATTTATTAATTAATTTGCATTGTGAAAGTGTCATTAGCGAAATGTTAGAAGGTAAACTTTGTAAATATTAATGATAACTGAGTTAAGCAAATGAAACCCTTTAAGTAATTAATTTCCTGTAACCAATTGTACATAAACAACATGGTGAATATTCTGTGTATCATCTTCCTGTATTCATCAAGCAACACTCATAGCTGGATGAGGTGATGATTGCATAATGTTCAATAGACATCCTCTTGTAGTCTATCACACCTTCACGTGTCCAAAGGGTTAAAACAAGTTGGTCTGGCACTTACTTTCAATGAAACAGGTGTCATATATATATGTGCTAAGATTATGAAAAAAAGTACAGATGTACATAAGAGTAGAGTGGCACAGTAGTGTGAAGCTAATTTGAAAACCTACCAAAGTTATTACACCTAAGTACAGAGATATAACAGTATTTAATATGTTTGTGCAAGTGATGGATAAGTAGACAGTAAGATGATATAAATAGTTATTAATAGTGCCTCATGAGACACATTTAATGATTCTGTACTGTTAACATCATCAACAGAGCTGCACAAACTGGAGCTTCTCAATACATCAATCCACAGTAAGATCAATTATTTCTACTATACCCCAGCCACTGAACCCATGAATGTCACTTTTATTTAAATAATAAGGGAGTTGGCTTATAGTACTGAGGTAATGCAATGTCATGTTCGTGCACTCTTCTTGACTATTTTTCAGACCTTTTTTTTTATGAAATAGTGTGCAGTGCAGTACAAGTGTTGCATGAGAAGGATAAATTTCCATTTTTGCTTAAATGATTTTACTTGGATTTACTGTACCATCATATACCTCTACTTCTTTAGTCTGGCCCTTTCAGACTGACCTGTTTTCATTATGTATTATTTCCATGAAATGTCAAATATAAAATGTAGGTATGCCTTACTTAATATTAGATGCTCTTCATATTTCCCAGTTCATTCTTGCCATCTTCTGATTAAAGGCCTTTTAATATTTTCTAATGTCTAATAATTATAATTTGCTTGGATTTGGGATATATTCAATGTATCATTGTGAATTCCTTATAATAACAACAGTTGAGGGAAAAAGAAAGCAGTTGTACAAGGGCCTTCCTGGAAACACTGTGTAAGAGAAAAACTTTGTTGTTATGTCCAGTACAGTACAGTAGTTGTTTTTCACTTTGTTGGTTATACTGTATGTTACTGTATGTAGTATCCTTCAGCTACAATATCTCACGTAACAACCTTCAACAGTAGGTTATTCTTGTGTGGCTATAGATGAACGCCAGCTCCATTTAGGGGTGCCACACATTCTCGAAGTCAGTGCTCTCATGATCACAGCCATATCATCTACTGTATGTGTTTATGCATCACTTCTCTCACACTATTTGGTCAATTGGCCTTCTGATTTATTAAAAGCACAAATGAAGAACAAAGGTTTATCTTAGATGTTCGGATTTTTGTGGGGCCGAGGTGTTTGAATAATTCTCAAGTCATTACAGTACCTGGTAAAAGTAAGGCTGTTCTAAAATATCAGTATATTGTACATACTGTAGTTTAATGTCAAGTGTCCCTGACTAATATTATGAGAATTTGAATAAGATAGTAGATATTTGAATGATCTTATCAGTGGAATTGGAAGATGTTATTTTTTTATATATACTGTACTGTACCTGTATATACAGTAGAACCTCAGTATTAAGCACTCCATAAGTTTGTAATTTAAGAAAGTTTCTGACAATTTTAATGCAATAAAACATACTGAACCAGTTTTTGATTTGAATATACTGTATACAAGATTTTTTAATTTCAAACAAACTGACAAAGTCATAAAATTTAACAGAAGAAATTACAAAGAATTTATAAAGAAAGAGTCATCAGCTGGCCATGTGGTCACTTTCATTTGTATGGGACTCTCAGACTTTCATGTTTTGTGCATACAGTATTAACTTTTTTTATATTTTACACACTGTTCAGTCTTTATAGTGCAAAATACTGAGGAGATACTGTAACAAATTATTTATAAATTACAATTCATAGTTTACTGATTGATTACAAGACCATTTATATTAAACGTTGTAATTAAGACTGCATTGATGTTGGTGATATTCTATATTTCATGCCATTTTCAAAGCCTTGGTATAGGATAAATACTTCTTAGGATTTTTAATATTCTGATATTCTCCCATTTACTATAAAGACTTTGTTCAGATGAATTTCAGTCTGCTTTTGCAGCTCAGTCTGTAGTAGAACCTTGCTACATTAGACTAATTGGAGGAAAGGTTGGTCTGATTAAGCTATTTTTCTGATATCTTAAAGAGTCCAATATCACAAGGTTCTACTATACATTTCATTGGAAAAATCACAACGTCTGCATTAGCATCAGTGATAAGGTGAATGGTTAGTTATCATACAAATATAAGGTTGTTGGAGATACAGCAGTAACGCTTGTAACTCTTGCCAATATGTTAAGGGCTCGAGCTTCAGTCCGGACCAAACATCAGAGGTTTCCCGGTCTCCTCCTGTACTAACACTGGATAGACCAACTGCCCGAATGGCTAGTAAGCTGATAGGTGGCAAAAATTATTATAAAAAAAATGAAGAAGAAACTGTTGTATATTGCTGGCTGCTGCTCCCAGATGTCATACTGGTAATGGTACAGAACTGCATAGGTGTCAACTTCTTATCCTGTACTCTCCTAAATATAATATTTGTTCCATTTTGTAGTGAACTTATAGAGGATGTGTATTTTGGAGGAGGATTAACAAAATGTCCTGCCTGTAATCCGGTTGTATATTTTGGTTGTACTGTATTAACAAAAAAAAAATCTAAAATTGCAATAGCAGCCAAAGTAATGCGAGGCAAAGCGCCATCCTTTAGTAATTTTTATCACGTGAAAGAATTGGTGTTAAGAGTCAGCTTTTGATGTTGGTGGTGTATCATTGCCAGTGACTCCCAGCTCCTCGCCCATGCCACGACCCGCTCTACCTGCCGCTAATCTGCTCTACAATGGTGCCTCCTCCTACTCCAGCCCCTACTCCACTTTGGTGCGTACTGGAAGCTATGATTAAGGTGCCAAATTTTGAGCTTTTGGTTTCAGTAATAGTGAATTGTTAGACTCTTGTGAGACTTTGCTTTAAATTTCTTTGAAAGAACTGGTCAAGGATATGGTGAGGTTAAATGTTTTCTTTTCATACGTTCACAGAGAATGTTTTGGGCAGAAATAGTTTTGCACAAACTTATGAACTGAACTGGTACCTTTATTCAAAGCTTTGTTTTTATGTTGATTGTCCATTGTCGGTGATTATTGTGTATATACAGTATAGCTTTTATATTTTGCAGATTTATTGGGAATGCAAGAGCTTTCTGAATTTTATATAATAATTTAAGCTTAGCAGAATTTTGGCTTATGTGGCACTGTAAGATAATTATGATCTGTAAGATTTTATATTTATAATAAAATATTATACATTACAGAGAAACTACAGTCAGTGTATAGTATTTACTTTCCTCTGCTTCTGAAACATAAAGTTTCCAATATTATAACTTCACATTCAGATTCTATTTACTTTCCATATCCCAAATTAGAACATTGTTTGAAAGTAATGTATATTCAGTGCTGTACAGTGATAATGACCACAGTCTTTTAAGACTTCTCTATCAAAAATTTTTAGAAGTGTCTTAAAAGAATGGTAACTGTATACATTCAGAAGTAGGGTAATGAAGATGTACAGGTACTGTACTCTATTGTACTGTACTGTATTATTAGATATTGTGTACATTATAATTTACCATGAAGTTAATTCACTTATTTCCTTTAGGGACGACCGGGAAGTCAAAATGATTCTAGACCTTACAATCAGTCCCTCACCGTAAACACTCAGCAGGAACCTGTTGCGTAAGTTTTGATGTTTTCTATTTTCTTATTGATCACTTTTGGAAACAACAAGTCATTGGACATTTTGTGTTTTATTAGATTCAAGGCTGTAATACAATACTTTACTTTATACTCTATCCTCTTTGACACATAGTTTAATTTATATTAGTTGAGTATGGACACTTGAGATTGAAATTAATACCATAATTTATTTTATTTTTTATTTAATTTTATTTTATTTTATTATTGTTTTTTTTTTTAGGTATCGCGCTCTATACAATTACAAGCCCCAGAATGATGATGAGTTGGAACTTTTGGAGTCAGACATGGTTATGGTCATGGAGAAGTGCGATGACGGCTGGTTCGTCGGCACTTCTCGTAGGACCGGCCTCTTTGGCACCTTCCCTGGAAACTATGTAGAGAGGGTCTGAAACAGAAGTAAAAGAGCTTTAGACCCAAAGCTTTATCCTCAAATCATAAATTAAGTATCATAAATTCCCATGCTAAGTCTGTTTCTTGGGCCTTTGGTAAGTATTTAGTCCCAGGAGAACAAATGTTTTTTACAGTGTTTATATGTTTATGAAGTTACTTTTAAGTTTAGAAGACCTATGGATAATGTAGAGAGAATTTTAAGGTACCTGGGCCTGACAAAGAGACTTGTGAGATTTCAAATAAGAAGAGATTAATACTGTACTTCATAAAGTCTCTTCAAGCTAGTTTGGGTATCACGAGTACCACAGTGTGAAATGGGGATCCTTGTTATTTAAATACTGAAGGGCATAGTTATATATCTGTTGAACCTAAGACAGTATGCTTTTGAGCTGAGCATACTGGCTCTGAAATATTAGAGTTTAGAAGTAAATAAAGTTTATAAGTTATGCTTACAAGGACTAATTTTGTGCCAATCTGATAATGGTGAAGAGGATGAAGATGCTACTACTTCACTGAAAATTATTTTTGTGACTATATGATTTTCCATGCACTGACAATCTAAATTTTGTTACTTCTCAGTTTCAAGGATTTTTATTACCTTTATACTTTACGGTGATCTGGAAAACTGATGCATGTGAAGTGCTGTTTCCGTGTCCGTTATATATGCGAATCATACAACGTCCATGTTTTATGCATAAGGCACACTGGTGCTGAAACTTACCATTTAGCCTGTGCATTTGTGTATATCTGAAGTAGCATATATATATATGTGACTCATTTATTGATGTTGATGCAAAAGATTGCATTGTCCTTCAGTATAGAGGCTCGTTCTTGTCAAACTGTTTGGTAGTGAACACAATGAAAATCAGTTCAGGTTTTGCACGTGTCTAGTCACACCCAAAGTGAATTTATTGAGAAAAAAATTATGTAGATGTCTTGTTACCCTCTGCCGGTGCTTTCTTCTGATGTAACAATCCATTATGATGTACTGAGCAAAGGTTTCTGGAGCAAACAATACCTGTTAAGGTTATGCACACTGCGGAGCATAAGTTTACTCCACAGACTTAGCTTACAATGTGCGACTTTCAGGGTTTTCGTCTAAAATGTAATCTGTACTGTCCTAATACTGCTCCTGCCTTTCTTGCCTTATACTTCTGTGTTATTTTTTATTTAGTTTATTCACCTGATTTTAGGCATTATGGATATTAGAGTGAATATGAAATAATGTTATGTATGATATTTCATAGCCTTTCTCTGTTAATGATAAATGATAATTTTTCACCTCACATTTATTCATATTCATTCTTTAACTTAAATCATATGATAAGGTTAAGTGTATTAAGGAAAAATATTCCCTTCAAAAATCAGGTTGAATCATTTGTCAGAGAGCAAGGGTTCTGGTTGGTGTCTCAAGAACAGAAGCTCCTTAAATCAAAGTTATTTTTAATGTCCTTTTGTCGATGTTATTGTACAAAGATGCTTTTATAATTTACTTGTTAGTTATTAATTTTTCTATGATTACTGGTTTTGTATTCAGAACTATCCACAAATGGAATTATTGAATAGTATGTTTTGAAGATTTTCTGTTTTTGTGTCACCAATGTAACCCACCATAGTATTGGCCTCTCTGGAGGAAGACAACAAGGCAGTGTGGTCACAGTGAGTGCTGACCATTTATAAGAAAACGAAGCATTCAGGTCCTTATAAACTTTTGTAAAGTAAATAGTGAGCAATCCTCATCTCATTTTATAGTGGACAAGGAAAGTCTTGCTATGTTAATGAACTCTGCCTGTGCTTCCGTATCAATCTTCCTCTCGTGACTTGTTACAGCCATTATTTTATTACCGAGATTAAGTGCTGCTACCATTTAAGAGTTTTAGCTTTGCAAAAATTTTATCTTATATTTACCACAAAAATCTCATTGAAATTGCGAACATGTTTGCTTGTGTTTGTTACAAATCTGACATGTTCATCAGTATTGGAACTTATTATGTATTTCACTAAGGCTAGATTTGTGCATTGCAGAACAGAGAATTAGCCTTAATGGGATGTGATTTTAAGGATTCCAGTTGTTGAGCATGCCATTATTTTCTAATAGACTTTAGTTTAACAAGGCACACTACACTAAATACCTAGATAGATTGAATGAATGATGGAAAGCTTTGCCTCTACCAACGTTATATACAGACTAACAGTTTCAGAGTTGTAAAATCAAGTGCCTTTTTACGGTAGACAATGTACTGTTTAGATCAGAGGAGTTTGCCAGTAGCTGTCTTACCTCACAATGCATTATTTACATTTTAGCCCTGTCTCCCTTACAAAAATTGGGTTGTCAAAGATACAAAGCTGAATCTCAGAAATTTAAGAGGGATATTTGTGGGCTTCTTCACTTCAGTATAATTCTTTCCTGTTGTTATGCACAATTTACTTTAGTAAATCATGTAGAATATGATAATAAAATGGAGGAATATACTATATTGTATTTCATTTCCTTATTCTAGAAAAGTCATTGGCCACACAGCAGCTGACTGCTTTGTGGATATCCTCTTTGACCTCCACTCATCAAGAATTTGGACACAATAACCTTTTACAACCTTTTTTACTTTTTACTTTTATCCTCTTTGCCACTGATCAGCTTGTTAGCCACTTGGGTGGTCAATCACATCTCTGTTATGCACTGTTGGCAAGTACTTGGCATGAAATGGCTCCTGAATATATCAGAACCTGCTCCAGTGTTGGTTAAATATGGTCTTGAAAGAGCTCACTCTCTGTGCTGCCACAACATACTCTGGCAGATTGTTCCAAGAGTTCACAATTCCCACTCCGAAAAAATTTGGCCTCACTGTTTTCTGGACTTGTGGTTTCTTCAGCGTTAAGCTTTGACCCCTTGTAGGGCAGGTGTCCGCCAGCTTCAGGCTTGATCATGGTGTCGTACATATTGTATACGTCCAGCAATCCCTTACTTCACTGTGATTGGAGGACTAAAATATTAATCCACCAAATTACAGCCAATGAGAGAGCAGATCACTCAGTCAGCACAACACCCTAACTTATGTTTTCCTGTTGGATATTTAGACTCCGTTTCATTGTTCAGGATGCAATGATACTGGAAATGCGATGGTCTGTGTGCTTATTTAACGTCACATCTCCTAGAGTTCTAAATAGTGCAAAAACAACTGCACCCACGGGTCTCTCCCAAGAACAGCGGCATCTCCAGGGGCCTCTCTCAGGAGTGGTGGTGCCCCCAAAGGTCAACAAACGGTCGCTGCCATCCCCAGGGGCCATCCCAGGGTCGGCTCAGGCCCTCCAAAAGGATGCATTACCCTAAGAAAGCCTTGCCAGGCACCCTTCCACATGCAGCGTCTCTCCAAGAACTTCATATTTTTGTCGTACATTTTGCATTCGTCCAGTAATCCCATACTTAACTGTGATTGGTGGAGCAAAATGTAACGTCATCAAATTACAGCCAATAGGAGAACAGAGCAATCAGTCAGCACAACACCCAACTTGTGCATTGCTGTTGGATATTTATTCTCCTTTCACTATTTAAATTCTGGGAGATATGAAGTTAAATAAATTAAACACTACCCATAGCATTTTCAGTATTATCGCTGACTGATTCCTCTGTTTTCCTATTGGCTTTAATTTGACGAAGTTACCTCTTATTCCACCAATCACAGTTAAGTAAGAGATTACTGGAAGAATGCAATATGTACGACACCACTATCCGTTGTTTTGGGGCGCCACCCTCCCCTAGGAGGACCTATTGTGAGCCACAGGCCTTGGCAGGGTCCCTGGGAGCAGTGGCGCCCCATAAAGAGGCCTGGGAGGAGCCACCGCCTCTGAAAAAGGGCCCCTGAAGGCGCCACCGCCACTGGCAGGGCCTCTGGGAGCACCACTGTCCCTAGGAACGTACCTGGAGGCGCCCCGTCCCTGGAAAGGCCCCAGGGATCATGGCTGTCCCTGTGAGGGCCCTAGGTTCGCCAGTGCCCCTAGCAGGGCCCATGGGGGTGCCGCCGTTCCCGTGATGGTCCCTAGGAGCGTTGCCGTCCCTGCCAGGGTCCCTTGGAGCATTGCCATCCTTGAGAGGCCCATGGAAGCTCGGCCGTTCCTGGAGGAGCCCCTGTGGACGCCGCTTTCCCTGAAAAGGCCCCTAGGATTGCAGTTGTCCCTAAGAGCGCCTCTGCTGGATCCAGCGCCCCTGACAGGTCCCTTGGGGGCACCGCCAACCCTGAGAGGGCCCTGGGGGCGCTTCCATGCCTAGCATTCCCAAGTGACCCTCACCGGGATAGCGGCGTTGTCTGGGTCCCTTACAGGGACGGGGGCGCCCTCAGGGGTGTTCCCAGGGACGGCGGCGCCCCCAGGGGCCATACCACAGCGGTGGCGCATTAAGGGGCCCTTCCAGAGGCGGTGTCTCCCCCAGGGTCCCTCTAAAAGGGGTGCCTCTGCCCCTAAGGAACTTGCCAGGGACTGCGGCGCCCCTATGGGCCCTCCTAGGGCCGGCGGCGCTGGTATGGGCCCTCCTAGTGGCAGTGGGTACCTATCCAGGGGCGGCAGGGTCTCTGCCAGGGCCGACGGCACCCCCAAAGGCCCTGCCACAAGCAGCATCGCCCCAAGAACTTCATAGTTTTGTCCTACATTTTGCATTCATCCAGTAATCCCTTACTTAACTGTGATTGGTGGAGCAAGATGTAACGTCATCAAATTACAGCCAATAGGAGAACAGAGCAATCAGTCAGCACAACACCCCAACTTATGCTTTGCTGTTGGATATTAATTCTCATTTCACTATTTTAAACTCTGGGAGATATGACGTTAAATAAAATACACACTGCCCATAGCATTTTCAGTTTTATCGCAACCTGAACAATGAAAAGGAGAATAAATATCCAACAGCAAAGCATAAGTTGGGGTGTTGTGCTGACTGGTTGCTCTGTTTTCCTATTGGCTGTAATTTGATGACGTTACATCTTATTCCACCAATCACAGTTAAGTAAGAGATTACTGAACGAATGCAATATGTACGACACCAGTATCCATTTTTTTGGGGCGCCGCCTCCTAGAGGAGGACCTATTGTGAGCCACAGGCCTTGGCAGGGTCCCTGGGAGCAGTGGCGCCCCATAAAGAGGCCTTGGAGGAGCCACCGCCTCTGAAAAAGGGCCCCTGAAGGCGCCACCGCCGCTGGCAGGGCCTCTGGGATCACCACCGTCCCTAGGAACGTACCTGGAGGCGCCCCCGTCCCTGGAAAGGCCCCAGGGATCATGGCTGCCCCTGTGAGGGCGCCTAGGGTCGCCAGTGCCCCTAGCAGGGCCCATGGGGA